ATTAAACCATGGCTCCTCATTGCTCCCCCCACACCCCAGACCTGGCCTGTGAACCTGCTGGACCAGCTGACCAGTGCTCAGGTTCAAATTACAAGGTGCTCGGCTCTGAACCATCCTCAGCCGCTAAGGTGATTTTTCTAAAATATAGGTCTCACCACAGCACTCCCCTTGCTCAGTGAGCTCCAGAGGCCCTCTGCTATCTCCAGGATCAAACATAAATCCTCTGGCGTTTAAATCTCTCCCTGACATTGCCCCTTCTTACCATTCCGGTCCTCATACACCTCCAGATCCTGCTACCCTGGCCCCTCGCTGTTCCTAGAACCTGACGCTTCTCTGTGCTTTTGCACCGACTGTCTCCCATGCCTGGAATGCTCTCCCTTCTCAATCTGACACTTATTTTCCTGGCTTCCTTCAAGACTCAGTTCAAACGTCCTACAGGAGCCTTTCCTGGTGCTTCCCAGATGCTGCTGCCTTATCTTCCCCTCTCCTTCCACCCTCCACGACCCCATCTCCTATGTACCTAGTTATTTACATATTCTCTCTCTCATTAGACTGTCAGCTCCTTGAAGGCAGGGACTGCTTTTTTCCCTTTTTGTATCCCCAGCCCTCAGCACAGTACCTTTCATATAGTAAATTTGCTGCTGGAAGTGAATGACATATAATAATGTCATTTGTCTAACACTTTACAGTTTGCAAAGTACTTTATGTGATCTCATTTGATTCTCATAACAAACAAACCTGTCAAACAGGTATTATTAAAACTAACAAGGAAACTGAGGCAGTTAAATGACTTGCTCAGGGTCATACAGCTAGTAAGGATTCAGGTATTCTTGACTCTTAAGTCCCATACTTTCACCACAGCACCACCTAGGGCCCATGGGAGACAAGGGAGACTTAACCACATCAGAACTGTTTACTGGATGATAAATAGCCAGGGGTCAGGTGGAAGTCATTGGGCCTGGGTATTTTCTGATAGCTCTGAAGTGGCACGGTTTTATACAACACAGCTGGCTCTGTTCTTTCCGCTGCCTTCCCTTAGAGGCACCTCTAGGACCTCAATGACACCAGATGCACATTGGTTGTGATGTGTAGGCCACTGCCCTGATCCTGAACCCTCAGCCCAGAGCCCCTTCAAAAGAAACCCTTCCCCAAAGAAAGTCTGGATGGAAAAGTCCTGATGACACCGTCATAACATGATCTGGGACAATCCTTTGCAAGTCACCTGTGGAGAAGCAGAAATGTGAGAAGTGAACTTATACCATCCCCTGAATGATGTCTGCAGAGGCAAAAGACACCTGCCAGAAAGGGAGGGATCAGGACACTCTCAAGGTCTCTCCGAAGAACTTTGGAATCGATTGTTAGATATGGGAGACACTGGCAGAAGACCACCCAGCATGGCATGCCCACATCAAAGATGGCGTGCTCCATGAGCAAAGCAGAATTTCGGTAGCTCAAAAGAAACATGCGATGTGGAAATGGAGAGACATCTACGCTCTAAATGTTCACATGGACTATTTCTGCCTGACCTGTGGTAGAGCCTTCCCAGTTCACACTGATGTGAGCAGTACCTTGACCCCAACATAGTGATGTCATTTTGGTCCTCTTCCAACACACACACACACACACACACACACAAGCTATACTAATCTTTTCTAGTCTCTTAAACTAGGGGTCCAGTCCTGTTACTACCTAGCTATTTAGCCCCAGGCAAGCACAACTCTAGTCTTCCTTTTTGTTTTATTTTGGTTTTTTTGCTAGGCAATGGGGTTAAGTGACTTGCGCAAGGTCACACAGCTAGTAAGTATCAAGTGTCTGAGGCTGGATTTGAACTCAGGTCCTCCTGACTTCAGGGCCAGTGCTCTATCCACTGTGCCATGTAGCTGCCCCTGGTCTTCCTTTTTTAACCGATAAAATGAAAGTCCCACTACGTCTACCAGCTTCATGAGATTGTGATTCAAGCAACGAACCAATGAATCAATCAAAATGTATAAAGCACCTACTATGAAGGAATGAATGAAAAAGAATTTATAAAGAGTTTACTTTGTGCCAAGCACTTTACCAAGCACTGAGGATATGAACAGAAAAACAAGAGCAGTCCCTGTCACCAAGAGACTCACTTTATAGCTGGATCAAATGAGATAACATGAGCAGCACTTAAATCCAAATACTAATTACTAATCATAACTCCCATTTACATAGCACATTAAAGCTTGCAAAGACCTTGTGAGAGTTCCCCTGAGATTAACATGTCTGTTTTCTATGAGTTACCTTGCCAGGCAGGTCCAGTGGACACAGAGTAAGCCTGTTGGCCGAAAGGAGGCTGCAGTGAGCCAAAGTCTCACTCACTCCCAGATGCCTTTGCTGGTGTTCACTAGCTGACCTTGCTGAGTTGTGCTCCACCCCCCCACACTCCCCCAGCCTTTCAGTCAATGTTCCTGCAAAACATCCTGCTTCTCCCACCTATTCCTGGGAAAGACTACCCATCCTTTGCCCTCCCCTCTCCCCGAACCTCTCCTTTGTTGTTTTCAAGCATAAATTGCCCCTGCCTCTCCTGGGCGGTGGGCTCCTTTATACTTTGTGCTGGAGGCCTCAGCACTAGTGTCTGATTTCCCTGCTAATAAGACCTTTCTAATTTCAAGTCAGCTTGGACTTGAGGGATTTGGAGGGGTGGGCTTCACCCACTCTGACATGTTCTACAAATATTATCTCCTTTCATCCTGACAACAACCTTGGAAGGCAGTATTATCCCCATTTTACAGATGAGGAAACCCAGGCAGGTGGAGATTAAGTGATTTGCCCAGGGTCCCATAGCTAGTACCTGAGTCTGGATTTGAACTCAAGTCTTCTTGACCCGGGCCAGTGCTCTGTCCACTGCATCACCTTATTAACGGGGGGAGACGACATATAGAGAATAGCTGAGCAGATGCCTGGAATGCTCAGCCCCCTCCTCACTTTCACCTCTGGGGATCTCCAGCTCCTTCAGGGCTCAACTCAGGAACCACCTCCTTCCCACATCAGGACTTTCCAATACTCCCTTAGTGTATCAATAAATGCTCTCCACACATTACTTTGTATTCATTGTAAATGTATTTTGTGTCAATTTGTGTACTACAAATTGTAAAACCTAGTGCCCTGCCCCCAGCTGACTATAAGCTCTTTGAGGACAGGGACTCTTCTGCTTTATGTATCAGAGAAACTGACATGGTACTTTGCACATAGCAGGAACTTAAGAAATACTTTGTAGAAGAGTGTGTGTGTGTGTGTGTGTGTGTGTGTGTGTAAAGTAAGGGTCAAAGAACTCAGGTGATTGGAGGGAGGTTGTCATACAGCCTGGGCAGCTAGGTGGCACAGTGGAATAGAGAACTGGGACTGGAGTTTGAAAGATCCGAGTTCAAATCTAGACTCAGACACTAGCTATGTAACCTTGGGTGAATCACTTAACTCGTTTGCCTCAGTTTCCTCATCTGCAAAATGGGGATAATAACAGCACCTCCCTCCCAGAGTTGTTGTGAGGCTTAAGTGAGATATTAGTAAAGGCCCTGACACATCGTAGGCGCTATACAAATATCAGCTATTATTAAGCGCCAGAGTGGCTGAATCTGAACCCGGGCCCTGATACCAAAGCCAACTTCACTCTTCCAGAATCCTACGCAGCACCGATCACATTACAGTTAGAGCATTTGTGTATATGTCCTCCCTACGGATTGTCATCTCTATGAGGGCAGGGATCATAACTTATTATGTGTATCCTGCCCCTCTGCCTGTCACAGAATGGACTCCCTCCTGTTGAACGGGCTTGATTCCTAGAGAATGAGACTTCCTCCAACGCAGAATCCCCAAAGCAAGCGCTCCTCCCCCACCTGTCCCAGTGCCTTACTTATAAGGAGTCGAGGTCCCTCGAGGTGCAGTGAGCTCATTTCGGAGACGGCGCCAGAGAGCCGCCCAGTAAGAACTTGTTTGGGGGCGGGGAGGAAGCTGTGGGATACAGCATCTGGAGGAACCCGGGATGTGTAAGGGGACGGGGGTGTGGATTTCAGACACTTTCTACATTTAAAGCGCCCGGTGAAATCATGCTTCTTTCTGGGCTCTGGTTTGTTTCGTGGGGAGGGAGTGGGAAAGAAAGGTCCGGAAAGAGTGGGTGGGGAATTCATCTTCTTTAGCCTTCTCTCTAGGGGGGAAGACTCTCCCTGCCCCCAATAGGGTAGGGCTGGGCCGGGCTAAGCTAGGGCTGCCGGCCCTAGCACCGCCTCCCGCGCCCTCTCGAGGGGCAGCATCCATCCTCCCTACCACCCCGCCCCACCCCCGGGCCGCGCCCCTCTCCTTCCTCTCCGCCCCCCTGCATCCAGGCGTCCACTCCGCCGCCTCCCCGCGTACCCCCCCTCCAAAGTTCCCGGGAGCAGCTGCGGCCCCTCCTCTCGGGAAAGGGGTGTGGGCTGAGGGCTGGTTTGGAGCGACCCTCGCGCAGAAGTGTTTCCGAGGGCAGCCCTGACCGCGGGTCGGCTATCCCGTCCACTCCGGCCCGCACGCATTCCCAACTTGGGAGCCTCTGCAGGCCTGCGCACGCACGCACCCCTCCCTCCTCCTCCTCCCCTCCTCCTCCTCCTCCTCCTCCTTCTCCTCCTCTTCCCAGCTTTGTGACAGCCTCCAGTGATAGGAACCGCGGAGCCGGGCGAGAGAGAGGGAGAGACCCAGAGAAGGAGGGAGGAGGGGAAAGGGAGAGAGATACAGGGAGGGAAGGAAAAGGAGCGCATCGGAGGGGGCTGCCTCTGCTGCAGCCCCAGCCATCGTTCTCCTCCTCCTCCTTTTCCTCCTCTTCCTGCCGCTGCTGCTACCACCGCGGGGCCTGGCTCCGGCCTCGGATGCCCCGGTGACCCCGCCGGAGGAGCCTACGGGCCGGGGCCGGGGCCGGGAGGACCGCGAGGGGCGGCGCTCCCCGCGGAGTGGCCGCAAGTTTGCAAGTTAGGCTAGTTCAGGGCTGGGGGAGGGGGTGGGCTGCGCGCGCCGCCGAGGAGGGGAGGGGGAGCCCCCGGCCCCGGCTCCGCTAGCCCCAGATCCCCCCGCCCCGGCCCACATCCCCCGACTCTCCAGCCATGGAGGACGGTGGCGGGGGCCCCGAGGCGGCGTCCGTGCTGGAGAAGAACGTGGCCGAGCTGACCGTGATGGACGTGTACGACATCGCCTCGCTGGTGGGCCACGAATTCGAGCGGGTCATTGACCAGCACGGCTGCGAGGCCATCGGGCGCCTCATGCCCAAGGTGGTGCGGGTGCTGGAGATCCTCGAGGTGCTGGTGAGCCGACACCACGTCAGCCCCGAGCTGGACGAGCTGCGTCTGGAGCTGGACCGGCTCCGCCTGGAGAGGATGGACCGGATCGAGAAGGAGAGGAAGCATCAGAAGGTGCCCCAGGAGGGGAAGGGAGGGAGGAGTGGGGGCGCCCGGGGCGGAGGCGGAGGCCGAGCGGAGAGGAGGAGAGCGAGCTGGGGAGAGGGAAGGAAATCTTGGGGGGAAATCGAGGCACGAAGTAGGTGGAGAAGAAAAACGTGGCCAGGAATAGGAAGCCCACTGGCCCCATTACCTTGGGCAAGTCTTTTTCCTCCCCGAAGTTCAGAAGTTGCACTAGGTGGTCAGTAGTAGGTAGAATGCTGAACCTGGATTCAGGGAGACCTTGGATGCCAATCACGCTTAACAGCCCCGTGACCTTGGGCAAGTCCTTTCCTCTTTCTGAGCCTCAGTTTACTCATTTCTGAAACAAGGAGTTAGATTAGATAATCTGTACTTGATGGAATGCTGGACTTGGAGTCAGGAAGACCCAGGTTCGAATTGTACTTATTTGATGAGTGACCTTGGGCAAGAGTTCTTTCTCCTTTCTGGGTCTCAGTTTACCTGTCTTCCAAATGGCCTTGAATTAGATGATCTCTTCAGACCCTGGCATGTCTCCTAACTCTGTGCTTGTTATTTTTAAAGAAGGCATGGGAGCCTGGAGGGAGGGAGAGGAAAGAGGGCTTGGAGAAAGGGGAGTCAGCAGTTTGGAGAGTCAGGTGGCTTTGGGGATAGAGACCTAAAGAACTCAGGGGAGTGGAGAAGTTGGAAAGTGAGGAATGAGGAGAGGAGAAGCTGAATGAGGCAGTAGGGGAAAAACTCATATTTTTCCTGTGGAGTTTATCACATGCAACCCAATGATGTAATTAAAACAAAAACTCTTGGGGGATCCCTAGCCAGATAGGGTCCAGCATTTCCACCAGGGCATGGCTCTGGGGCAAGGCCCACCCATTCTTCTGTCTCATTCCCATCTCTCAACTCCAACCCAAACTTCCTGACCAGTTCAGAGGACTTGCATCCCCAGGACCTTTCTCTGTCCCAACCCAAGAGTAGCCAGAGAGAGATGGAGCCTATGACTCCAGGCTGATATGTTGGGATAGTTGCCTTCTCTTTATGAAGTAGAGAGAAAGAAGAGGTTATCTGTGGAAGCCTTACCATATCCCCCCTGCTCTCTGTGTCCTGCTCCAACCCACTGGGTTTTGTGGATCAGAACCAGAGACGGACAGACCAGGGTAGTCCCCTGCGGAGATAGGAGTGCAGCCTGGGAGCCAGGGAAGAAGGAAGTGGGGAGACATGTGGTTTCCTGCCATGGCTTGAGGCCAGTGGTGCCTCAGACAGGCCCTTTAAGCCCTGTTCCATTCCTGGGGGAGCAGGGAGGGAATCAGAGGAAACTCCTTTTGGAGAAGAGCTCCAGGGGACTTGGGTTACCAAGCCTGCCTCATATTTGCTGTGTGACTTTGGGAAGGATACTTGGCTGATCTGAATAGGAGGGTCAGCAGCTCTTGTGAAATCTGATGGGCTGGTTTCTTGTAGTATTTTTAAAAGCTGTTTTCATAGCAGAGCCAGTCATGTGTTTCTTTGCTTGGCTCTTTCTCCTTGCCTGTGGGGGGGGTTTATCAGAGAGCTCTGGCTCTTCCCTTAGAGCCTTAGGGCTCTTGCTCTCTGTGAAGTGTCTTGGTGGCTCTGCTCCCGGGCAAGTCAGGCTTGTTATTCCCAGGAAGGAAACTGGATCCCAAAGAGAGACTGACTGAGGTGACCAAGGTCACCCCTCGAGGTAGAAGCAGGGCTGAAGTGGAGAATCACTGAAAAGTTATCCAGTGGAAACTCTGAGAAGACTGTTTGGGACAGGGATGGCCATCTTCTGGCATGACTGTCACATGCTGTTTGGGGGCCCCATGACAGGCCCCAGACATCTAAGGGACCATAGAGATCATCTAATCCAAATGCCACAGTTTTTCTCCCTTGCTCCAGAATCCCCAGGGGGCCACCAGCTGCCTTTCAGATAATGAGAACTCAGACTTCTCAGTTGGGTCTCTGAGGCCAATCACAAGTTTGCTGAAACCTGCCTTTCTAGTTAATTCGTCAGGCAACAGGCATTTGTGCCAGGCAGTGTGCTAAGCACAGGGTGCAGAGAAAGGCTTTATGTTGGCCTGTGTTCACCTGACTTTATATGTGGTCTCTCCTGCCCTGTGCCTTCTTGCAGACCATCCTCCAAGGGCGCCCCTCCTTGTCTCTGCCTTTCAGAGGCCTTAATTTCAAGTGTTCCCTCCCTCCCCAGAGTTTCCTTCATCTCTGTCTTAATTCTCCTTTGTCCCTAGCCCCCATCTATGTTATACTTAGCCACATGTGGAATCTATCCTCCCCTGGTAGAAAGTAAGCTCCCTCACTGAGTCCTTTTTTTCCTTTTTGTATCTTTAGCATTGTGCTTAATAACTGTTTTTGAATAGAATTGCATAAGGGATTACTGAAATGTTGTTGTTCAGTCATTTCAGTTGTGTTCAACTTTGCATGACCCCATTTGGAGTTCTCTTTGGAGTGTTCTTCCAGATATACTGGAGTGGGTTGCCGTTTCCTTCTCCTGCTCATTTGACAGATGAGGAAACTGAGACAAACAGGGTTAGATGACTTGCCCAGGATCACACACCTAGAAAGGGTCTGAGGCTGGATTTGAACTCCTGAAGATGAGGCCTTCTGATTCCAAGCTCAGTGCTCTATCGGTCTGGCTGAGATGGGAGAAGATCAAATCACTTGCCCAGCGAGGTGTGGCTGATTAGTCACTGAGTTGGTGGTAGGCCTCTACCTGCCTCTCCTCCAGTTAGTCAGAGAAGTCTTCCGGAGGAAGTTGAGGGTGGGGGAGCCTGTACAAAGGGGGCAGAGAGCACTAGGCTGGCAGACCTGGGTGAGAATACCAGCTCTCTTTTATCTGTGTGACCCAGGGCAGTTCATTATCTCCTCTGATTCCCAGTTACCCCTCATCTGTAAAATAGAGAATTGGACTCTGGCCTTCAACAGGCCCTTTCACGACTAAGCCTAGGGTCCTACGCATTCTGACCCCACGCTAATGCTCTTCCATTATCCCATGGGATATCTGGCTGTTCTCCTTTTTAGCCTTCCTTCTCTGCCGGAACCAGGGTTAGGCCTATTAGAGTTTGCCAACCAAAGGTCTTGCTTTTCTTTCTAATTCTTTCCCAGCATCTCCTAATATTTCTTCTCCCTCTCTCTAGCTCCCTCTCTCCCTTCCCAGTGAGCTGGAGGAAGGAAGAAAGGAAGAGAGTTTGGGTTGTCTATCACAGATATAGAACAAGGCTTGGGAGATGGCTTAGAGGGAGGTTAAAAGGGAAGAAGCAGGTGATGAGGAGGAGGAAGGAAAGCGGGATGAACCAAAGAAGAAAGGTGAGAGGAGAAGGAGGCAATCCAACCTGACAATCAACAAGCATTTATTAAACCGTTATAGTGTGCTAAGCAGTGGGTATACAAAAGCCCACACAGTCCCTACCCTCAGGGTGCTTACAACCTAACAGGGAAACAAGGTGTCTATAAATGAATATTCACAATCATCCAGAGAAGGGTTTTAAAGCTCAGTCCACCTTGGGCCTCTCAGGTACCTGTCTGTCTCAGTATAAACTTCAGGTATTTTCCAGCCCCTTTCCTCCCTGGAGAGAGAGGTTACCATGGCTGTTGGTTAAAGATTGAGTTGGGTAGACCTTATAATGGGGTGTGTATCTCTCTCTGTGTCTGTCTCTGACTGTTTTTCTGTCTTTCTGCCTCTCCCTCCTCTATCCTCTCTCCCTTTCTTTCCTCCCTCTCTTTCTTTCATCTCTCCCTTTCTTTCCTCTCTCCCTTTCTTTCCTCTCTCTCTGTCTCCCCTCTCTCCCCCCTTTTGCTCTCTCTCTTCTCTTCTCTTTCTCTCCCCCTTCATTCTCTCCTCTCTCTTTCCTCGCTCTCTCTCTTTCTCTTCTCTCTCTCCTCTCTCTCTCTTCTCTCTCCTCTCTCTCTCTCTGTCTCCATCTCTTTTTCTCTCTCTCTCCCCCTCTCTCCTTCTCCCCCCTCGTTCTCTCTCTCTTCTTTCTTTCCTCGCTCTCTCTCTCTCTCTCCTCTCCTCTCTTTCCTTTCTCTTCTCTCTCTCCTCTCTCTGTCTCCATCTCTCTCTCCCCCCTTTTGCTCTCTCTCTTCTCTTCTCTCTTTCTTTCTCTCTGTCTCCGTCTCTCTCTCTCTCTCTCTCTCTCTCTCTCTCTCTCTCTCTCTCTCTCTCTCTCTCTCTCTCTCTATTTCCCTCTCCCCAGATAACAGTAGTAATAAGAACAGTGATAACAGCTAGTATGCACGAAGTGAATTAAAATATTCAAAGAGCTTTCCATATATTATCTCATTTGATACTCACAGAAATCCTGTGAAGTAGGTGCTGTCAATATTCTCATTTCACAGATGAGGAAACTGAGGCAGGGAGAGGTAAAGTGACTTGCCCAGGGTCACACAGCCAGTAAATATCTGATGTAGGGTTTGAACTCAGGCCTTCCTGAATCTGAGTCCAGAGCTCTATTAAGGCAGGCTAGGTACAACAGAAGCTGAGTATTCACTAAACGATGGCCCAGGTCCTATAGCCACTGTCCCCTCTCCCTATCCTTCCAAAAGTATCTGTCAGGTAAGGAGAAGGAAAAGGATGAAGAGGAGGCCTTCAGAAGGGTCCCTGCCCGTCCCTCCTTCCAGCATTTTCATGGGTTTGAAATCGGGTTCTTCCACTGAAACCTTCCTTGGCAGCCAGGAGGGGGTGCCCCGAGGTTCTCCAAGGCTATGCCGTGTGTAGCCTGAGCTTTGACAAGGCTTACCCCAATGCAAAAGCTACCGGGACGGGCCTGGCCACAGACAGTGGCTTCACTTGGGAAAGGCCCATTTCCTGCTTGGTGCAGCTACCTCCTTCTCCCTCCCCCCCCACCGTGGCTGTCTTCTTCCTATCACTTTCTACCTACGTGACCCTTGGGCAAGTCACTTACCCTTTCTGGGGCCTCATCTTTAAAATAAGACCGCTGGACTAGGTGGCTTCTGAGGGTGCTTTCAACTTTGGTCCAATCCTAGCTCTAGTGACCTTGGGCAAGTTACCTCTATGGGCCTCAGTTTCCTCATCTGTAAAACGAAACAGTTGGACTCTGAGGTCCCTTCCATCTCAGGCTGTATGATCCCCTAGTCTGCCTGAGTCAAAGCAGAGCTAAAAAGTGCCCCTATCCTGGAGCCAGTGGGGAATAGAAAACAGGAGGGGAGCAAAGCTCAGTGCTCACCAGAGAAGGGGACGGGGCTGCCAGCTGCCTAGGGACCCTGGGGGCCTCGGCCAGTGGTGGGCCCAGGCAGGGGCATTTACCCTCTGTCCCCTCGGACCCCACCTCTAGGAGCTAGAGCTTGTGGAGGACGTCTGGCGAGGGGAAGCCCAAGACCTTCTCACGCAGATCGCCCAGTTGCAGGAGGAAAACAAGCAGCTGATGACCAACCTGTCCCATAAGGACGTTAGTTTCACCGAAGAAGACTTCCAGAAACAGGAAGGTAAGAGGAACCAGGAGAATTGAGGATTCTGTTGGGTTTCTTTCTCAGGGTGCGTGTTGTCTTTCTCAATAGAATGTAAGCTGCTTGAGGGCAGGGATGGCTTCATTTTTGTCTCCGTATGGCCAGCACCTTGGAAAGTTCTTGGCACACCGTACGTGCTTATGAAATACTTGCTGAACTGAATCATCGCTAATCAGAATAATAACGCTACATGCCATTTCTGTAGAATGTGAAGGTATAGGCAGCATTTTCCTCATTTGTTGTAGGTACAGACATTATTTTTATCTCCATTCTACAGAGGAGAAAACTAAGGCTAGAAAAAGTGGCATAATTAACCCAAGGTCACCTAGCCAGTGACTTCCTGAACTAGGAAGCTGGTGGTATATTAGATTTAGGGGCAGCTCAGTGGATGGAGTGCTGGGCCTGGAGTCAGGAAGACATGAATTCAAATCTGCCTTCAGACAGTTTTATTAGCTGTGTCACCCTGAGCAAGTCATTTCACCCTGTTTGTCTCAGTTACCTCATCTGTCAAATGTGCTTGAGAAGGAAATGGCAAACCACTCCAGTATCTTTGCCAAGAAAACCCCAAATGAGGTCACGAAGGGTTGGACATGAGTGAAAAAGACCAAATGGGGGCAGCTAGGTGGCACAGTGGATAGAGTACCAGGCCCTGAAGTCAGGAGGACCTGAGTTCAAATCCAGCCTCAGACCAAACACTTGACGCTTACTAGCTGTGTGACCCTGGGCAAATCACTTAACCCCAATTGCCAAAAAAACAAAAAACAAAACCAAACAAACAAAAAGACCAAATGAACAAAAACCATACCAGATTTAGGGCTGGAAGGGAGATTAGAGAACATCTAGTTCAGTCTCTCATTTTACAGATGAGGCAACTGAGGCCCAGACAGGGGAAATGATTTGCCCAGAGTCACATAGAAAATAAGTAACAGAAATGGATTTGAACCTGTGTCTTCCAGATCTAAATACAAATCTAACGCTCTTTCTGCTATGCCTTTGGCTTTCTCTAGTTGGTGTTCCACTTCTTCACAGAAGGGACCGTCCCCCATTACTCCTCGGGTTCATTTCAGACCCTCCTCCCACCCAGTCTCAGCAAAACAACCTTTAGCTCCCTCGGGAGAGACCAGTTTGACCTTGTTGAGACTTGTGGGAGAAGGAGATTTGGTTGGGGGCACAGATAAAGAAACTGAGGCACAGAGAGGTCTCTTGGCTAAGGTCACACAGCCCAAAACCTAGGTCATTTACATACCTCCTGAAGATAAGGTAGATTTCTCTTCAGGTCGACCACTGTGGGGATTTGGGAGCCATCAGAGCTCTGACCAGGATTCCTTCTTTCTGGCCTGGGATTGGGGACAAGTAGGAAGGTCTCCCTGATATTCCTCTTCTGTTCCCCCAGCCCTGTGTATGTTACGGAGGATGCGGCCAAGTGTCTTTGGTGAGCTTGAGTGAGTCTTATCAATGGTTATGCTGTGATGCTCCTATAGGAGGGAGTCTGATGACTCCAAGGGAACATGGGGGATAATCCTGGATCTTAAAGGGCCTCGAGGAGGCTGGGGGCTTTATCACTTACAATTAAAACATCAACAGGATGGGGCAGCTAGGTGGCACAGTGGCTAGAGTACCAGCCCTGGAGTCAGGAGGACTTGAGTTCAAATCTGGACTGAGGCACATAATACTCTCTAGCTGTGTGACCCTGGGCAAGTCACTTAACCTCAGTTGCCTCACCAAAAAAAAGAAAAAGAAATGAAAGCAAGAAATAGGGAAATGTTTTCCCTTCCCCCTCTACGGGAGTAGCTAGGTAGCACAGTGGATAGAGCACTGGCCCTGGACTCAGGAGGACCTGAGTTCAAATGCGGCCTCAGACACTTGACACTTCCTTGCTGTCTGACCCTGGGCAAGGCACTTTACCCCGATTGCCTCACCAAAAAGAAAGAAAGAAAGTCAGGAGTGGAGGCTGGAGAGGAACAAATACATGGCAGGCCTGGGGGGCTTCCTAAAATGGAGGTCCTAGGAAGAACCACCTAATCAAAGGAAGGGACCCTGGGATGAAGTGAACTTCCAAGGCAAGGAGGATTTTGTGGCTTGGGAGAAAAGATGGAGAGTCAGGAGTGGGGCCCTGGGGGAATGAAGATGCACCTCTGCTTCCCTAGTTCTTACTAATTCAGTCCCCCTTCCCCTTGACACCTGTTCAAGTATTTGAACTGCTTCTCCCTAAGTTCTTACTACTCAGTGAGTCAGCAGACATCTACTTATCCCATATTATGTGCTGGAGATGCAAAGAAAGGCAAAAAATAGTCCCTGCCCACAAGGAGCTTACAGTCTAACTAGGGAGCGCATGTACAAACAGGTGCATACAAGATACATACAGAGCAGATGAAATAACCTGAAAGGAGAAGGGGGCAGCTTCGGAGGGGATAGGGAAAGGCCTCTTGGAGAAGATCCGGTTTGGGCTGAGTCTGGAAGGAAGTCAGAGAAGGTGGAGGTAGGGGGTCAGAGAATATTTCAGAAGGAGTGAGTCAGGCCAAAGGCACAAAGACTGGAAAAGGACTGTTTTATTCGAAGAACTTCAGGCAGGCCAGTGATTTCTAGTGTAAACATCCCTAGCTCCTTCCACCAGTTCACGTATGGCATGGTCTGCAGTCCCCTCACTGCTCTGGGCATCCTTCTCTGGACACTCTCCAGCTTATCCCTCTATTCCTCTTCAGGCCAAATGAAGGGAATTTTAAATTGCATTCACTTGAAGTCCTTAGGACCTTAAAGAAACTCTTAAGTTATTTATTTTTTCCCTTATATTATTAAAAAAAGAAAACTACCCTCCCCCAAATTCAAGCCCATTACTATTTATTAGCTACCTACTAGCTAGCATTTATTTTTTAAATAATATTTTATTTTTCCCAATTACATGTAAAAACAATTTTTAATGTTCATTTTTTAAAAATTTTGAGTTACAGATTTTCTCTCTCCTTCCCACACCTCCCCTCCCTGACAGAGTAAACAACTTGATATAGGTTAAATATGTCCAATCATGTAAAACACATTTCCACATTTGTCATATTGTGAAAGAAAAAACAGACCAAAAGGAAAAAAACACATACAAAAAAGGAATCTACATTCAGACTCCATCAGTTCTTTCTCTTGAGGTGGATAGCATTTTTCATCATAAGTTCTTCGGAATTGTCTTGGATCATTGTGTTGCTGAGAACAGCTAAGTCATTCATGGTTGATCATTGTCTAGAGAAGTGTGAGCTGCAGACATTCAGAGAATTCACTCCAGATGCTCACGTGAACTGTTTGTGCCCAACCTGTGGTAAAGCCTTCCGGGCTCCTATTGGTTTGATCAGCCACAGTTGGGCACATTGTACTTTGACTCCAACATAGTGATGTCATTTTGGTCCTCTTTGAGAAAGAAGGACAGCCACCACCTGCCTGTGTACAACGTTCTCCTGGTTCTGCTCATTTCACTTTACATCGGTCCATACAAGTCTTCCCAGGTTTTTTTGAAGTCCACCTGCTCATCATTTCTTATAGCACAATAGTATTCCATTACATTCATATACCACAACTTGCTCAGCCATTCCCCAACAGATGGGCATCCCCTCAATTTCCAATTCTCTGCCACCACAAAAAGAGCTGCTAGAAATATTTTTGTACAAATAGGTCCTTTTTCCTTTTTTTTTTTTTTAAATCCCTTTGCGATATAGACGTAGTTGTGGTGTTGCTGAATCAAAGAGTATGCACAGTTGATGGCTCTTTGGGCATAGTTCCAAATTGCTCTCCAGAATAGTTGGATCAGTTCACAACTCCACCAACAGTCAAGCGAGCATTTATTAAGTACTGCTGTGTGCCAGGCGGTAGCCAGGTGGTATAGTAGTGGATAGAGTGCTGAGTCTGTCATCAAGAAGACTCATCTTCCTGAGTTTAAATCTGACCTCAGACACTTACTAGCTGGGTGACCCTGGGCAAGTCACTTAAGCCTGTATGCCTCAGTTTCTTCATCTGTAAAATGAGCTAGAGAAGGATATAGCAAACAATTTCAGTATCTTTGCCCAGAAAACCCCAAATGGGGGAGTCAGACTCAACTGAAAATGATGGAACAACAGATGTTCTGGGCACTATGCTAAATTCTGGGGATACAAACAGAAATAGACCCTGCCCTTAAGGAGCTTACACTCTAATGGGAGGAGGGGGGATAAAACACATAAAAGGGAACTGAAAAGTTCTCAGCACGGCTTTTAGGTACCGTGAGGGTAGGGTCTAGATCTGGGATTTCATTAGTAAAAGGAACCACCAGTGAGGAAACTCTCCCTGCCAATGCAGGTTGGCACTTCCTTTGAAATTTAAAATCTTAGGGAGATGCCTAGATCAGTAGTGTAAGACTCAAATAGAAACCATCCATAAGGGCAGCATACTGACTTAGAAAACCACATGTCAACATTATCTGTGTACTATTGTGTTTTTATTTTGTTATTACATTATTAATCATAATTATTATTACTATTGCATTTTAATCTGGTTTAACTGCATTCTGCAATGTGGTCTGAGTGTTTGATACCTCTGGTCAAGATCATTGAGAGGTTAAATGATTTACTCAGGGTCACAAAGCTGGTATATGTCAGAGGGCCACCATGAAGTGAGGTCTTCCTAGTATGAAAACTAAGTTTAAGATCTAGGTACGGGGCTTTGAGACCAAACTAGATTCCATCAAAGGGCCGCACTTGAAGACCTAAAGGGCCACGTGTGACCTCAGTAAAGTTTGGATTCCATCAAAGGGCCGCACTTGAGGACTTAGAGGGCCACATGTGGCCTCCAGGCTGCAGGTTCCCCACTCATGCCCTAGGACTTAGGGCACGAGTGTTCTGGTCCAGCTAGACTAATTCCCAAGCCAGTCCATTTCACTTTTGGACTGCCATTTTTGGGCCTCTGTTAGGCCTAACCCAGTGCATCTTTTATAAAAATTAAGACAGCATTTACATATTCTGAAG